TTTCTACACCTCCACTCCTTTGAAAAATTGCTGTTGCTTCATAAGTTTTGCTGTGGAAAAAAGGTTCAATAATTTCTATAAATATTATCTAGAGATGTGTTAATTACTGGAAGGCTTTGTGGTCATCATTTGTTGCTTTGGTGAACCTAGAAATATGTTAACTCTGAACAAGAGGCAAGAGAGGAAAAAAGCTTTGAGCTGAGACTCAAGGTAACTGGGGGAGTTGGGTTCCTGGCGGGACTCCAGGGTTAACTTTTTGAAATCAAGCACAGAGTTTCAGTGGGCCTTAGTTTCGCTAGCTTTAAAATGAAAACTCCAAACTAGAGTACTCTCTGGGGTTTCTCCTGGCGTTATGTCTATGTCAGAAAGCCTTTGTCCAAAGTAGTAGTTTTAACCATTCAAAAAGGGTCTACAACAAGGAACCCCTGACAAAGGATTAGAAAAATATCAATTCTTTAACTACTCAACTTCTCTGATTTGCCTTGAGGTATTCTTTTTAAAAAACACATATGCATGCAGCTGTAGGTGAAACCTATATTTTCTTTCCTTGCTTTTTACACTCAGGACTGCCCAGTAGAGCCGTGAGAGTCCATTGTCGCTCACCAAAGTCCGATAAGAAGGGCAGCTTGAGACTATCACTTAGAAAACAAAATCTGGCAGATGGGAGACATCCTGAGTGGGATGGGGGTGCTCTTTCCATCTCTTGTTTAATTGAGTTTGCATATTTGGAAGCCCATTGATAGGTTAAGTAGAAATCTGATTCTATCCCTGGAAAGAAAACTGTTAATGATATGCTACATGAACCTGTTTTCCTTTTCTGCTCAGCAATTTGTATAGGCTCGCTCCTTATTTGTCTCTTGATAACCTCATCAATCTCATCCATGCCCTCCTGACCACAGTGCCTGATTGCAGTAATTCCATTTCAGGGGGGCTTTTAGGAGGACGTGGCTTTTGCATTTAGCTAGAACTGCACGATGGAGTGATCGTTTCTTCCCGAGAGTGAGCGCCGAGATCATATTATGCTTGCCTTGATTTCTTTGTAAAGGCTGCCTATAGAATTTCATATTGATTTTAAGCTGGCGCTGTTTCATTTTTAACTCCTTTGTAAGCCAGGAATCCAGTTATATTAGCCTCTCCTCCCTGTCATTCTGACAGGCATTGGTTACCTGCTTTTTGCAAGCTACTCCACAGTAGCTCTTTTGATAGGGAACTTGTCGCCTTTACTCTTTTACGTTGTTGTTTTGTTTGCAAAGTGCAGACCAGTGCAGCGCAAGGTTGCAAGGCTAGGATGCAATGAACAAATAACATACAAATGCGAAAGCAAAGCAGATTGGTATTTATGCTGAGGATTCGTGGAGGCCCTGGCAGCTTTATACTGCTCCAGAGAGGGTTTTGAAGAAGTGAGGTTTGCCAAGTAATATGAAGCAAGGCCCAATTGTCAGCTGAACAGTGAAAGATGGCTACAGGTGTGACATACTGAAAGCATACCTTAGTTTCAATGTTTATCAACTGGCTGTCCTCCAGAAACTCAATTTGGTGTCATTTGGCAACAAGTCTGACCAAAAGCAATGCGAACTTACAAGTGGTACCACCACTAAGAGTACAATCATTTTGTTGTGCCTTGGAACTTACAAAGCCTTTCAAATCCTTTGTCTCGTTTGTTCTTCACAATGGCCTTGGAACCCTGGCAGAGAAGGTATTAATACGCCATTTTAGAGATAAGGAAACAGAGACCAAGAGAGCACAAGTTAGTCAATCAACAAATACAAGAACAAACCGGGGCTGAAATTTCAGGTTACTAACACCAAACCTGTTGCTCTTTAGTTTTGCGGCGATCTGAAGTAACGTGACCAAAAATATAACTTGCATATTCTTTGCATCGCCTTTCGATTTACAATTCCTTATTTATTTCCTTGTCTTTGTACTTTCGGGGTGTACTTTCAGATTTATCTCCAGCACAGCGGAGTTACTTTGATCACAAAGGAGAATGACAGAAATCAAGGTCTCCATGTTAAGCATATTATTCTTAACCGCTTAGAGAATTTTCCCACTGGATTGCCCTATTGTATTTTAAATTTTATTTTAGCTCTATTTTCTCGTCTGTAATGTGAAGGGGTTAGGCTCTGTTCCTCTCGTTCTACGGTACTGTGATTAGGAGAATGCGAGGTGAAGAAAGAATCAGGGCTGCAAGTGAATATGATTATCAGGGAATCACAAGTACAGTGCATTATGCATGTTTTAAAACTGGATATAGTATTTATATTCTAAAGTGTTTCCTATGAATTACTTCATCCTTCAGTGTGCTGTTTAAGTCATCCTGCAAACATAATCCTCTCACAAATCCAAATCAATGTGTTTGTCCTCCGTATAAGATACTTAAAATTTTCAAAATGTGTTTATGTCCAAAGACAAAATGTTTAGTTTTATAGAATTCTCTCAGTTGCTAGAAGGCTTTGTAAGGTTGACTCTAAATAGCCACTAAAATACTTACATTCTCCCCTTAGTCACGACTTTCTAGAATGCTTAAACATTAGCAATCATTTTTAATTTAGTGATCCTATATTCTTTATTTAATGTCTTGCTGCTATCCTTAAAACCAAACCATGTAGCTCAACTTTCAAGAACAAATGAACTTTGACAAGACTTATGTTGGGTTCAATCATTTGTGTTATAAAAATAGTTCAAATTTTGGGGGTGCATCAGTGGCTCAGTTGGTTAAGCGTCGGACTCTTGATTTCAGCTCAGGTCATGATCTCAGGATCTTGAGAGCAAGGCCCGAGTGCGGCTGCGCACTGAGCATGGAACCTGCTCTTTACCTCTCTCTGCCCCTTCTCTTTACCTCTCCCTCTGCCCCTTCCCAGACTGTGCTCTCTCTCTCTCTGGAAAAAATAAAAAAATAAATAAAAAATTCAGATTTTAAATGAGATAAATATCCATTTCCTATTTTCATAATGGCCCTTATTGCATACAGCTAGACTGATTGGTCATAGCAGAAATCTATTAAACTAATTATTTCTTAGCTGCTAGGCCTAGAGGAACTCACAATATTCAGACTTAGAATAAAATCAAATTCATAAAATCTGCTCTTTTAAAGCTCTTGGATAAACACTGACTTTGAAAGTCTCTTGGGTTTCACTTCTGGGCTTCAGATATGGGCTTTAGAAAACCAGTAACATCAATGTCAATAAAGCAACCACCAGAACACAAAGCCCAGGGAAAGACATTTAAGGAGTAAAAATTTCTCTTTTTTTTACCCTTCAAATTTAATTTTTATAATGCTATTGGTAGATTCCCCATGATAAGCTCACAACTTTACCTTTCATCTTCTCATTTCTTTATGAGTTCAAGTAAGTAGCGACTCAAATTGTGAGGACACTTAGGGCTTAATTTCTGTTTGTAATTCCTGCCATTTCACAAGAAGAAGTACAAACCTGGGCTATCTGAGTCTTTTTCAACGTTTGTACATGATTTCAGCAGAGAATTTATTTGCTGCAAAAGTTATTAGACTCCTTTTTTTTAATTAACATATATACTGAAATTTTCCCCAAGATTTTTGACATGATGGGTTTTTCTTCCCTTAAGTTTGATTCCAAGGTGGGTGTGACCAACACTGGTGAAGAGCAAACATACTCCCTTAATAAAATCCGTAGTTCTTGTCACATCTGTGCAAAACCATGGCAGGGAAACCTCAAACCAGACAAAACTTAGCACTTTTTCTAAAAAAATGCCATTCAATATGCAGTTCTTTTCAATATGCAGTGTTTTTTTTTTTTTTTTTTTTTTTTTTTTATTAAATGGCTTGTAGAGGTCTGAATGTTTCTCCATGAGCCTGGGTCACCTTCTGTGCACATTGTGGGTGATTTCTGGTTTCAGATGGAACTGTTACTAACTCTCAGTGTGCTGAGATTTGCTTTGAGTCTTGGTTTATTCGTGTTGAAACTCAGGAGATATAAACTGAAATAAAAATACTGTGTTCAAAGAGTCTCCTGAAAGTTGAAATCACCCAGCCTCACGCAGCCAGCCACTGTGATCCTCTGACCAGAGTTTCTGGGAGGCTTACTGTCAGTGAAGTCATTAACAGAGTAATTACTCCAAATTTTTATAGGCACATCAACTGGTGATGAGACAGCATGGTTTAACTTTTCTAGTCTTCTTGCTTATATCTCAGCTTTATTTTCTGTGAGGCTTGCTCTAGTACCATCAGAGGAAAAGGACCAAATATAGGCAGGCAGAGTCCCAACTCCAGAGTGTGCCTTCTGACTGATGTTTCCGATAGAGAACCTTCGAGTGGACATAAGAGGAACCCGCTGTGGGGGAGCACATATTGATGACTTGGTTGGCAGGACTTCCCCGCTGAGTGCCAAGCTACAGATGCACTCCCAATCGATTCCCACACAGCTACAGTTCAGTGAACTATTCTGAAAGAAAAGAGCATGGCCTGGGGGCTGTGAGATCCAGAATCATCAGAGGAGGGTCAAATCTCTAAAGAGAGCAGAGCTACAGTAGACCTAAAGAGACAAAGTGGCAAAAAATAAGGAAGAAATAACCAAAGTATGTGTGAATGTATTTGTGTATGTAAAATAGGGGTGATAAAAACAGACACTGTGTTTCTTCACTGCAGTGTGCTTGTGAGTAGTCAGATAGGTAGGGGATTGCTTATGTACTAGAGACTAGATACGGGCTGTTGAATTAAATGAGCAAATAAAATCCTTTAAAAACCCCCAAATACTGAACAAACAAAAAGTGAAATTATCATGTACATAGTATACATAACTTTCTAATAAATCGTTTTTGAAATAAGAGTAATTATGGCTTGGAAACTGAAAATATGGGGTATTGTGTTTTGTGATCCACTTCTATAGCCTTGAAATTGTCCTGTGAGAGCCCTTTCTTTCTTTCTTTCTTTTTCTTTCTTTCTTTCTTTTTCCCTTTCTTTCTTTCTTTCTTTCTTTCTTTTTTCTTTTTCTTTTTTCCTTTCTTTCTCTCGCTCTTTCTTTTTTTTAAATATGGAACACTTCATGACTTTGCCTGTCATCCTTGTGCAGAGACCATGCTAATTTCTGCATCATTCCACTTTTAGTATATGTGTTGCCAGAGGGAGCACCATTTCTCTCTTTCTTTGTGTGTGGTTCATATGTATATTATGCTTACATATATGCATATGTAATATACAAAATTAACTTTTTAAAATTTTAAATTCAGTATAAAATATTGAATACATACATACCATACACATATACATATGTATGTATATATACGACTTATGATCTCATAAATGAGAACTACTGGAGAATGAAAAAAAAGTCTGAAGACAAATTTTAAAATATAAAAGATTTTATATTCAACTTAAAAACTAAGGTAATAAAACATTCACTTTTGAAAAATTAAAATGAAAACTATTTGATTTTTCATGTAGTTTGAAATGCCTACATTGATTAAAATGGACAGAAGTTTCAATCTTAAAATAATGACTTTAAACTCAATATAAAGTAATTTTAAAAGCAGTTTTCTAGCAGAAAACTGGAAGAGCCTATTTTTTTTGTAACAGATCTTTAATTCAATGATTGAAAAATCTGTATTCTATTAAAAATGCCACAACGTTTTCTTGATGCTTACATTCTAGCTATTAGATTGGGAAAGAGTAACTGGCTGACTTAGGTAGAAATGCACAGTTGGCTGAAAAACGAAGTGGTACTAATTCCTATAGTAAGCATCTTCGAGTAAAGAATCAAGATCAATGAACAAAAAAGGGTCATATTTAACTAATGCAAAAAATGTAGACATCTATTTTTAGTTGGTTTCATAGGACGTGGGAGAGAAGGTATGTACGGAATGAAAATTTCGAGCCGAAGTTCTAAAATAAAAATGAGTGGTTGACAATATTGTGAGATCTTTCTTGAAAGTGTCATGGGCAGCCTTTTTTCCAAGGTGACACAGACACAAGTAAGGAGCCTGAACAATTTAACTGCACACAAAATAGCAGTCAAATGTCTATCCCTTTTTCCTTGGACACTTTTGTATTTTATACTTTTATAAATATACAGTTCTTTTTAACTTAAGCTTTTCAAAATAATAAAAACTGATATAGCAACTACAGGTTTAATAATTACTTAATTTACATAATCTCACTTTTATCTTTGATTCTTCCAAGGAATTGTGAGGTTATTATCTCACTTTGCAGACAAGAAGTCTATGTACATGGTGGAAATACTAAAACCAAAATATTCATTTAGTCATTGTCTTCCCTGGCACACCTCAATTTTTTGCAATGTAGTGCTGCAGACATATTACATATTTAATAAATACTTCATGAGACACTGATTCATCGATTATTATTTACCATGATTCTTGTCTTGGGAGATATTTACAACCATGGCTAAGAAAACAGAACAAATACCTCCTATTTTTCACAAGCTCCCTTGGACTTTTCCAGCTTTTCAGGAGTCAAGCCCAACAATGATGAGATCAGCAAACCTCCCTTGAGATAAAAATATCTTTTCCTTCCTCAGAATTCCCCTTCTCTGTCCCCATGGCACCCTGCTCAGTGCAGTGCAAACAGTCGATGGGCTCACTATCAATCACTAAGGACTTACTGAGCACCTGTTCTGAGAGGCACAGTGTGCAAATTAGCTCTGGCCCGAGGCAGGAGCTGAGGAAGGCTGGTTTTTCTTTTTATTTATTTATTTATTTTAAATTTTTTAAAATTTTATTTTATTATGTTGTGCTAATCACCATACTGGCTGTATGAATTTGAGCAAGTCACTTTCTCACCTGCTCTAGAGTTCAGTTTGCTCATCTGTACAGTGAAAATGCTTCACACGTTAACTCTAAGATTCCTTCTAGGTCTGATGGTCTCTGCTTCTGCTTACAGCATCTTTATTTCTTGGGGTGGGGGTGGGAGGACATTCAGGGAAATAAATCTGGGAGAGTGGAAACATTCTGGAACATTCTGAAATACAGTTTAACTTACCCCCCAAAAGTACGCATTTTATTTTTCTCCTCAACTGCTTTCTTATTTTTAGGTTTATGTTTTCAAAATGACACCTTCTGAATAAATAGATGGGAACAATAAAACCAGCTATAAAAACAACCCAGTAAGGCGGCAATACAATAGGAATCATGGTTCCCAGGATCAGCGGCATTGTCAGCATGTACATATCACTGTGTACTACACTAACAACTGTGATGCTCTCTGGGGGGGGGGGAGGGGACGCATGTGTTAACCAAGGACTCAGTGGACGTGGAGGTAAAAGGGGGTGAAATGACATAAAAGAAACTCTCCACTCTGGCTCAAAAAGCTACCATTTGGAAGAGTTGTATCTGGATCCAAGTGTGATCCAGCTGATAAAATGGGAGATAAGGAATTGTAGGAGGTAGTTTCTGTCTTTGATTCTGTCCTTAACATGACGTGCAACGCTGAAGAAGGATATCAACCTTTATCTAGTTCTTCATAGTGAAGTGGGTAAAATAACACTATTTCCCTTAGTTGTATATTTTTTTTAAGACTGATATTTATAGAAGGTTTTGGTCTCTTTTTATGGAAGAACACAGTATAACTAATAAAAAGAACTGTATTCATTTTCTACAATGAATGTTCATGAAATAAAATGGTGTCACAGAGCAATTTGCTAAACTATATTTTGTAAGTACAGATAGGAATTTTCTGCATCACATACAATTTAGTCTATCGAATTAGGATGAACATTAACCAAAGAGAACACAATACAGGAGCTGTAATTTAATGTTCACACTAGACAGCCACCTCCCACATAGCAAGAGGTTATCATAATTATTTACATTTGGGCGTAGAAAGAAGACAAAATGTGTCATCTTTTCGGTTGCTGCTTGCATTCAAAAAGGAAATGATCCTCTAAAGAGTGTAGTCAGCAAAATGAATTAATTAGAACTCATCAGCTTTGATAGTGGAAACAAATTTACATCAAATAAAGAAAATCTCTAATTCAAGAAAAGAGGTTCTCTAGAGAAGAGAAGGTCTTAAAAAGACAGAGAAAGGAAATCATGACATATTAGTGCAGCCACATAATTCAACAGTGAACTCACATAGTAATGGAATATACCGGAGAACCACACATTCTGAGTCTACACCTTGTCTAGGTCTTTCTTTCACTCTCAGAATTTCCAAGGTTTATATTTAGTATATGTACTCTTCCGTGGACACAGATAAATGTTTACAGAACATGTATAAGAACCAGGGGGGATAAACAGAATGACTTTCTGAATTGACTTAAAATAGGGACCTCTTCCTATCCAGCTGCTTTTGGATAATCAAATTTCGATTTGATTAGAAACTAGATTTAGGGATAAAAGATAATCATAGATAGGGGTGCTTTCCCCAATCTCCTAGTGAGGTCACCTTCCTGATTCCAACCTTTCTTAAATATTGAATTGAGCAGAGTGTAAGAAAAGTCTTTCTTTGATAGATGTTCTTCCCTGTTGAAGGAGTTGTAAGGATAATGATGTCCCTCCATGCTCATAAGTATGTCCTCACTAGTTTGCTAAGGAAGAGTAAGGTCGTGATACCCAAGACACCGGCACAGACTATGGGATCAGGGTGATGAGACTTTCTCATCTATTTATGAGAAAAGAGTAATAAAAAGGGCCAGGACCAGAATGAGTTAGACAGACTGTAGAGCAGGTTAGAGATTGTAATGTGCTAGAAAATGGAGTATTTCTAAAGATGGTAGATGGAGTGGTTTTCAGGAGTAAGGGGATTTGGGCAACCAGGAGGAGGGGAGAGTACTGGGAATACTTTGCTTAAAAGAGAGCTTAGAGATTAATTTTACCTATTTCAAATCTCTTCCAAGATCATGCTCTAGAAAACTTTATTTACTAGTCATTATTTTTATTTCATATCCTCTGAAGACCTGGTGTTTGGTTAGATTTGGTAAACTGAAATTACTTACCACCTTATGCAATGCTTCACAGACAACATCCCTTTGGAAGTCAAAGATCATATCCAAATTCACCTGAGCGATATGAGATAAGTAAAAAAAAATTATACATAATTTCAAGAAATACTTGCTGAGTGATTACACTATGCCACCCACACTTGTAGGTGCTGGGAATACCTTCAAGAACACTTACAAATACCCCTGACCTCATAGTGTTTATATTTTACTGAGGAAGGAGATAGATACTAAGCAAACACATGTAGAAAATAGACAGTGTGTCAAAACATCGTAAGTTCTTAGAGGAAAATGAAATAGGGAGAAAAGATAGAGTTCCTAACCTGGCAGATGGAATGGAGTGGTGAAATTTTCTCTAGAAAGTTCAAGGAAGGCCTTGTTGAAAAGGTGGCTTTTATGCCACACATGAAGCAGCTCAGGACAGATTTAGTATGGCATTCAAAAGAAGCCTTCAGCTTTTCAGCGATCTAATATGAGCTCAAATGTCAAGGCAACCTACATGAATTTCATTTAGGTTGATTCTTTACCTCTTTCAATGTAGATTCACTCTCATGAAGTACATATTATGAATATAATCATTCCCCACTGTCCAACATTTTACCTAAGAAAGACCACAAATCTAAGATCTTGTGATATTTAGCTTTTAAAAATTTTTACAGTTGTCATTTCTCTATGAACACAGTTACCCCATGAGGAAAAATATAAGCTTTGTCCTTTATTATAATGCACTGTGGTGTATATCAGAAAGCATAAAACTTGAGAATGAAGAGACTCGGGTTCTAGTTGTGTGGTTCATACATTACCTATTAACCTCATTTGGAAGATAGGGCATTGGACTACTTCAACATTTCCAAAAAGGTGTTCCTCAGAGCACTAGTTCTCAAGATGCTTTTGGAAAAAAAGGCAACTAAGGGTCAACTAAGTATGAAAACATCATTTATCACACAGACTCTAATTGGAGAGTCCAATGCAGGTTAGAGGATGTGAGGAGGTATTGAATAAAAAGAACCCATCAAACTGTAAACTTCATTTAAATCAAAATCTCCTGATCAAACTGCAACAGATCTAGGAAAAGCTAAAATAAATCATAAATGCTCATGTTTCCTATAGTTTGGAAATAGGGATTGTTCTTTTCTTTTATGTTCGCTCCACTCTATCAATAAGGATGGGCTAAGTT